TCTACGCTGCCCACCCTCTGAGGAGACACCCCAGCCCCCCTCCCCTCTACGCTGCCCACCCTCTGAGGAGACACCCCAGCCCCACTCCCCGCTGTGCTGTGGCAGTGGGTACTGTGGATTTGGGGACATTCTTGGATGCTGCACATGTCTCTGGGGAACTGCATCTGCCGCAGTAGGAAAGATACTCAGGTGTCTTTAGCTCAAGACCAACACTGCCCTTGGCTCAGGTTGGGATTTCAACTATTGCTATAGAGCAGTAATGGTTAAAATAAGGTTTTGGAATTTATTAAAATATTTTTGGTTGGGTATGGTAGCTCATGCCTGTAATCCCAGCACTTTGGGAGGCAGAGGCAGGTGGATCACTTGAGGTCAGGAGTTCAAAACGAGCCTGGCTAACATGGTGAAACCCTGTCTCTACCAAAAATACAAAACAATTAGCTGGGTGTGGTGGCATACACCTATAATTTCAGCCACTTGAGAGGCTGAAGCAGGAGAACTGCTTGAACCCGGGAGGTGGAGGTTGCAGTGAGCCAATATCGTGCAGCTGCACTCCAGCCTGGGCGACAGAGCAAGACTCTGTCTCAAAAAAAAAAAAAATTTTTTTTGTTATTGTTCAAATACTGGTTAGATGAGATTGACATGCAAAAGTTTTGTGAGAGGATAATACGTCATGTTTTCTCCATTGTATGAAAGCATTTATTGAAAATCAAGTGACAGCTTTTACAAGGGACAAAGTCACTTGTTCTTTAACATATAGTTTTTTTATTCTGAATTGGAAATGGCATCTGTTTTAGGTCTCAAGATATAACGTGGCTGTTCCTTTCTGGATATTTACATTGTTTTCTCTGAGTGATGTTTATCTAATAGCTCTTTGATACCTTATGTTACCAAATATACAGTCAAGGCTGGGGGCGGTGGCTCACACCTGTAATCCCTGCACTTTGGGAGGCCTGATGAATGGATCACCTGAGGTTAGGAGTCCGAGACCAGCCTGGCCAACGTGGTGACCCATCTCTATTAAAAATACAAAAATTAGCTGGGGATGGTGGCGGGTACCTGTAATCCCAGCACTCGGGAGGCTGAAGCAGGTGAATCACTTGAACCCAGGGCGGGGGGTGCGGAGGCTGCAGTGAACCTAGATCATGCCGCTTCACTCCAGCCTGGGCAAAAGAGCAAAACTCCTTCTCAAACAACCAACCAAAAAAAACCCCAAAAATATATAGTAAAAAAAGTAGAAATTTATGAAATGCTTTAAAAAAATTTCGTGAGACAGGGTCTTGCTCTGTTGCCCAGGCTGGAGTGCAATGATGGCCCACTGCAGCCTGGACCAGCAGGCTCATGTGGACGTCCTGCCTCAGCCTCCCTGGCAGCCGGGGCTACCAGCGCATGCACCAGCACGCCCAGCTAACTGTTTTGTATTTTTGGTAGAGACAGGGTTTCACCGTGTTGGCCAGGCTGGTCTCAAACTCCTGGGCTGAAGGGATTCTCCAGCCTTGGCCTCCCAAAGTGCTAGGATTATAGGCATGAGGCACTGTGTTTGATCTTCCTTTAAAAACTTTGAAAACTTGGCTGGGCGAGGTGGCTCATGCCTGTAATCCCAGCATCTTTTGGAGGCCGAGGTGAGCTGATCATTTGAAGTCAGGAGTTTAGAACAGTCTGGTCAACATAGTGAAATCCTGTCTCTACTAAAAATACACAAATTAGCCAGGTATGCTGGTGGGCACCTGTAATCCCAGCTACTAAGGAGGCTGAGGCAGAATAGCAGCTTGAGCCCGGGAGTCAGAGGTTACAGTGAGCAAAGATAGCGCCACTGCACTCCAGTCTGGATGACAGAGCGAGACTCCATCTCAGGAAAAAAAAAAAAAAAAAAAAAAAAAAAAAAAAAAAAAAAAAAAAAAAAAAAAAAAAAAAAAGGCTGTACACAGTGGCTCTAATCCTAGCACTGTGGGAGGCTGAGGCCGGCAGATCATGAGGTCAAGAGATTGAGACCATCCTGGCCAACATGGTGAAACCTGTCTCTACTAAAAAATACAAAAATTAGCTGGGTATGGTGGTGCACACCTGTAGTCCCAGCTACTTGGGAGGGAGTTTTATTTTATTATTATTGAGATAGAGTCTCTCTCTGTCACCCAGGCTGGAGTACAGTGGTGAAATCTCAGCTCACTGCCACCTCCGCCTCCCCGGTTCAAGCGATTCTCCTGCCTCAGGCTCCCAAGTAGTTGGGATAGGAGTTATGTATCACCACGCCTGCTAATTTTTGTATTTTTCATAGAGACGGGGTTTTACCGTATTGGCCAGGCTGGTCTCCAACTCCTGGTCTCAAGTGATCAGCATGCCTCAGCCTCCCAGAGTGCTGAGATTACAGGTGTGAGCCACCGCGCCCAGCCTGGAGTAGTTTCAGATAACCACATAGCTGTGCACTGTTTGCTTGCTGAACAAGGGGAGTATGTGGCATCACCGGCTCATCTTGCTGTTCCCACAGTAATGCATCAATTGGAGTAGACAATTGTTGACAAGACAGCAGCCTCCTGGTTGCCAGGGCTGCTTTTCAGGAGTTTCTGGGGTGTTTTTGTTGTTTTGTTTTGTTTTGGCAGAGTGTTACTCTGCTGCCCAGGCTGGAGTAGAGTGACACAATCTCAGCTCCCTGCAGCCTCAGCCTCCTGGGTTCAAGCAATCCTCCCACCTCAGCCTCTCAAGTAGCCAGGACTATAGGCATGCGCCACCAAGCCCAGCTAATTTTTATATTTTTTTGTAGGTGTTGCTAGTAAGCAGGTTCTGGGTGGTGTCTGGGTGTCACCATGTTGCCTAGGCTGGTCTCAAAGTCCTGGGTTCCAGCAATCCACCCACCTCGACCTCCTATAAAGGCGTGAGCCACCATGGGAGACTGAGGCAGGAGAATCGCTGACTGACATACCCAGTTTCTTAGAAAAAAACATTGATAGAGACTTCTGAACAGAAGCCATGTCTGGGTCTCAGGTGGCATCAAGACAAGATGGCAGCTTTAACCCTCCAAGACCAAAGGCCACAGGGGAGGGGTGACCTCAAAGGGATATGTAGGACAATTGAAATATGATGACATCAAAGTTGCTCTGGTCCGCAGGGCAGGATTTATAGGAAGTAGGTGCTCCTGCACAGGGAACACGACATGAACTGGAAATCTTCGAGGCCCTCCGAGAACTGGCATTCATCAGATGTGACCTGGTGAGATGGAATCGCTTTGACACCCACACCACCTAAAATAATCTGGAGGACTGTTGGCGGCTGATGTGAGACTTCAGTTCGTCTTCTTAGCTTACAATAACTTAAACAATATACAACAGCAAAGGAGATGCAGCACAGAATAATTTATTGCAAAGGAAAAAGAATATCTTAAAAGTTAAGTGCAGAACAGGCAGAGAGAAGGACTCGGGCAGGCTGCTAATAAGGAAGAGAGCACAGCGGGCACTAGGGAGGCTCCCTTTATGGAAATCTTACATGATTATTCATGAGGGGGTGGGAAGAGGTGTTGCTAGTAAGCATGTTCTGGGTGGACCTCTAGGTGCACATGCACAGTAGCTGGACATGCATGTTCATACGTCGCATGTCTCATTAGCTTCTTAAATCTTGACCCAGGCTGGGCTTTTTACTGTTATAATGAGCAAAGGGTCAGTTTGAGGATCGGTAAAATGAAAATGC